CCCATGGCCTGTTCCACACAGATGCTGCTGGGTCACGTGTGCCACAGCTGAAGGCCTCCCCCGTCCGCCTGCCTCCACCATCTGCTGAGGCCCCATAATTATTGCAGCCTCACTCGGAGGGGAGAGTTCACACAGCCCTGTAATGTAACCCAGGCCCCAGGCCGCTCGGGTAGGGGGTCCCCAGCTGGGTAATGAGCCTCTGGCTTTATTGAATTCAGTCGTTAGCTAAGGCGGCCTGGACTGCCCATCTGAACACCTCGTCCAGGATGGCTCCCTCTCTGCACCCCCGTTCCCACTCCCCAAATTCTTCCCAAACACTTTAAAATGACCAAGGATGGGGCAGAAGGGCTCTCAGGGGCTGGCCTTCCCCACCCACGTGGGAAAGAGTGTGACTGCCTCAGTCTGGGGCCCAGGAAGGGTGGACCAGAGCCTGTGCTGGCCTGAGTTTGCTGGGGCAGCCTGAAAAAGAGGCCCACCACCCCCACTACTCCCCTCCACTCCTCTGAAACCTGCCAGGGGCCAGGCCTCATGGAGGAAGGGCCAGGTTCAGGACACTGCTGTGCTGTGAGCCAGGCCTCTCGAGAAGCTACCTTCTCACTCTTGCTGGCAGGCTGCTGAGGACTAAGGCTCCAGCCAGTGTCACCTGTGTGCAGCAGCAAACCCAAGCCTGCCCCTCCTCTGTGAACCCTGGTACTGCCTTCCCTTATTATTGCTGGTGTTAACCGTGAAGGCCTTGTTTGTTTGGCCTTGTACTCTAGGTAAGTACTCTACTGCTGAGTTACATGCCTGGCCCTTATTTTATATTTTTGTTTCCTTTTTTTTTTTTTCAGCACTGGGATTTGAAATCAGGGCCTTATGCTTGTGTTTGCTGCTTGAGCCACTCCACTTTTTTTTTTTTTTTTTTGAGATAGGATCTCACAAACTATTTGTCCAGTGCTGAGTTTGAACCAAGATCCTTCTCCTGAGTAGCTAGGATTGCAGGCATGAGCCACTAGTGCCCAGCTTGTTTTGTTTAATGTTTTTTTCTGGGCAGTACTTTGGTTTGGACTCAAACCAAAGAGCCTGTGCTTGCTAGGCAGGCACTCTACCACTTGAACCACACTTCTAGCCTTTTTTTAATTTTAGTAATTTTTTGAATAGTCTCGTGGTTTTGTCTGGGTCTGGCCTCCGACCACAATCCTCCTACCTGTGCCTCCTGAATAGCTGGGATCACAAATATGTACCACCATGCCCAGATTGTCAGTTAAGATGGGTTCTCCTTTTTTCCCCAGGCTAGCCTTGAACTGTAAGCTCCTGCCCCCAAATCTTGTCTTCCAAGTAGCTCATATTAAAAGTGTGCACCACCAGACCTGGCCTTGCAGCCCTTTTGTGAGACAGGATCTCACTACATAGTTCAGGCTGGCCTGGAATTCAAGATCCTTCTGCTTCAGACTCACAAAGTACAGGTATTACAGGTGTATACACCATGCCTGGCTCATGAGCTCTTACCATTATCATTTTCACACACTTGCTTTCTGGCCTAGACACTACCCTGTCTGTGGACAGACTGTTCTGGATTTCTGTGTGTTCAGATCCCAACCCATAGGAGGTACTTTGTGGAAATAAGGTAGGGAATGAGGAAGCAGATGCAGTGAGGGATAAGAGGGTAGTTTGTGCAAGTTGCCGTGGGTCTCTAAGTCACCACTGCGTGCATGGCTGAAGACCCTTTAGAGACCACCCAAGGGTGGAGCAGGCTGATTTGGGAACTGGGATCAGCTGTGTTGTCCTGTCAAGACCCTCAGGAGTGCTTATGTTCAGATGAACCTACGATCAAGGGTAGCCCACAGTTCACTGCCTGGGGGTGACCTACAGCCAGCTGCACCAAAGAACAGGTCTTGGTCACACCCTGCAGGGTGTGGTGGCAGAGGGGGACCTTTTCTTTTTTGTGTGGTACTGGAGTTTGAACTTAGGACCTCACGCTTACAAAGCAGGCACACTACTGCTTGAGCCACACCTCCAGTCCAAGGGTACCCTCTGAGACAGGTATCAAGCTGAGAGGTAAGAGACCAGCGTGTGCTTATGTCCTTGGCAAAAGAGTGACAGCCAGGGGACTCAGGAAGATCAGCCAGACAAGTCCAAGGCCAGGGCTCTGCCCAGCAACCCAGTCCAGGCTCGGCCCCTGGTAGCCTGAGTCAGGGTTCTGGTGGACAGTAGGAGTGGGCAGCTGGGACCCACCTTTGATACCTTGGGACTGTGAGAGGGCTGAGGGAGACCACCGAAGGGGGTCTACAAGGAGGGACTTCAGGGCTCCAGAGCAGCATAAAAACAAGCCTATCTGGTCCTGGCCATAGGCAGGCGGGGAAGGAGGCCTTGGCAAAAGCAGGAATCCTGTACAAAGTGTGTAGCTCCGCTGGCTGTGGAACCTCTGTGACTCAGTTTCCTCTCCCACACTTGGAGCTTCCTCTTGCTTTGGTCAGCAGTGATGATGGAGGTAAAATGCCATGGGCTCTGAGCCCTGGTCAGACATTATTTGTTATTCTGGATTGTGTTCTGGTGGGAGACCTGGAAGGACTGAGGGCCGTAGAGTGCTCTAGGGACCCCCTCCTCCTCGATGCAGTTCTTAGAGTTCTCTGAGCAGAACAGCTAGCTGTGAGGCCCTAGGAGGAGCACCTATGGCCCTGGACAGGACCAAGCTGAACAGAGGGCTTTCTCCACCAACCCTGAAGGGGGTCAGGATTCCCCTGCCTTGGAGACATCTCTTCTCCCACCCCTCTCATGGTCTCATTGGCCTCCCCAGAAACCAGCCTCTTTTCCTTGGATGCTTGTCCCCACGTAATGGTACTGTGACAATTTCTCTAAGTGCTTCTTAGAAATGTGTCACTGTCCATTTCTCTTTGTGATATCACAGGAGGCTGTGCAAGCCACTTCCTAGCAAGGGCTGTGTGGAGGCCCCTGCTCTGAGCAGCTGGAACACAGCTTATGAAATTACAGGGAATTCAAAGCAGCCAACGTCACCCGCTGTCTGCCTTCATTATTGGGACCAGCCTGGGAGGGAGGTTTATTCCAATAATTTAGAGGATTAAGATCTGACACCCTTCATTAGCTATTTGACATAAGCAGAAAAGACAGATCTTGTAGAATGACCCATACAATGGGAAGGAATCTGCTCAGAGGGGAGCAGCCAGCACCCACCCAGCTAGCAAGAGACTGTGGGGAGGACTGTGAGGCCAATTAGATGGGGAGCTGTGGACCTGGGCCCAGGCCTCGGTTTCCCCCTATGTGAATCAAGGGTGCAGCTGAGAGCCTTGGAGACCCTGTCTGGCTCTGTTGTGCCCCATCACTATTCCTGGGATCCTGTGGCTCAGCCTGCTCCTCAAATCCTATGTGGCATGTCCTTGAAGAGGGACCTCTCTTCCAAGGCTATCTATCCCTGCTGGCTGTTCTGTGGCATTTTTAGATACAGGCCATTTCCTTTCAAATGGCAGAGAAATTACACCTGGCTCCCAGCAACTTCTGGCTCTGTGCCTGGCCCCTCCACAAATATAACCCCTGACTTTCAAAAATGTCTTTTGTCTGTTCTGTAGAAACCAGATTTTGGACTGTGTCTAGACAGCAGTTCTGGCAGATGGATGGGGGAGGCTGGTTTCCAAAGCCCCCCCTTCCCCCTCCACACCCAGCAAGCTTGGATCCCTGCCTCTTTTATTAGAGATAAGGTCATGGAGCTGTGTGGCACAGGACAAGTTGCTTAGCCCCTCTGTGCCTCCTTCCCTTAAATCTACAATGGAGGTATGACTTACTGTGGATTCAATGAAGTGATGTGATTAGTGAGCCTGACAATTATCAAGAACAACTGGTATTGACCCTGGGCAAGTCACTTGCGTTCTTCCACCACAAACCTTTTCTTTGCGGTGGAGGGACACTAGAACAGTGCCCATGCAGTACCTGGTACCCAGAAATTGCTCACTGAGCAGGGGCCACTGTGGCCACGAGCGCAGGCAGCTTGGCTGTAGGGCTCAGTCCTCGGACACTGTTGCTGCGTAGGTTTTCTTGGAGCCCACAAGTGTGTCGATGTCGATGGAGGAATGTGATATGTCCCAGTGGCCCGGCGGGAGCCGGAGCATATCTGGTATGTGTCTCTGGAATGATTTGGGGAAAATTCACTAAAGTCAAAACTTAAGACGTGGACTGCCTGGGACACAGCGATACGGAGGAGCCGTCCGTGTGCACACCCCCGCACAAGGGGACCTGGTGCTGGGGTGGGAGTCAGCTTACACAGCACAGCGCTGCTTGGGCCCGCCCTGGAATGGCCGTGAACTTGTTGTTTTTCCACGTCATTTGCTCTCAAATGTACTATCGAGCTGGGCGACGCTCACCCGGCCGCTCAGGTCCCTCCTTGTAACAAGCGATTGTGTGTTCTTTCGAGGTGGCTGAAGGGGAGGAGGGGGCCCAGCCCCGAGGAGGTGGGGAAAGGGAAACAAATCCTGCTTTACAGTGAGCTTGCGTGTTCTGGAGCCAGCTCCCCTCTACGGCACAGGCCTTCTCTGGCCCTCGAAAGGGTTAAAGGCCTCCTGGAGTCAAAACAAGCAGGTGTCCCACGGTGCCAGAAAAGCCGCCTAAACTGCTTCCAGCTTTCTTCTCCCCCTTCTGCAATAAGTCTGTGATCAGCCACGGGACAGAGGCGCCAGCAGCCTGCCTGTGACAGGCATCAGGTTAGCTCGCTCCCACTCGGGTGGCGCGCCCAGGATATAAATCCAGGCTTAGGCCCCTGCTGCCGCTCCTCTCCCTGCACACTCAGGAGCGGACTTTCCTTCCAAAGACCTTTCTTTTATCTGAAGCCGCGCAGCCCAGCAGGCTGCACTTGGTGGAGCAGCCGCTGCCGCCTTAGAGAGGAAACCTGCTGGGGTGGGGAGGGCAGGTGTCTCCAGCCCCCCTCCCAAGAAGAAGGCCCTGGTGGGCTCCAGCCCCTGGCGGCCTCGCAGGGTTGGTGTCTGGCTGCTGCACTCTGTACCATGGGCTCTCAGGTGCTGCCAGCTCTGGTCCTGCCGGGGGCTTCTGCTGCTGCTGCTGCTGCTGCTACTTGGGATGCCCCCTCGAGGCCTGGCACTGCCACCCATCCGCTATTCCCATGCAGGCATCTGCCCCAACGACATGAACCCCAACCTCTGGGTGGACGCCCAGAGCACCTGCAAGCGAGAGTGTGAGACGGACCAGGTGAGTGGGAACCCTGAAGCCAGAGATGAACCACATGAGTGTGTGAGCGAGGGCGGTGAGAGCCTTGGGGTGGGGACTACATAGGAGTGTCCTCAAGGAACATGAAGGATCCACCTGGAGAGAAACAAGGCCGAGGCCTGGAAGAAGAGGGTGTGATGTCCAAGTTTGTCAGGGTCTGGGAATCCATCCGCAGGTTCCTCCTTTCTGGTTGCTCAGGGTTGCTATGAGCCAGCACCGTGCTGGGCAGACAGTGTGGATTGGGGTTTTATGATGCTCCAGCAAGGTGGGCATCAGCCACCTGCTCATGGGGGAGCGTATAGATACCTAGTGCAGTGCCATCACCAGTGAGGGACAGGAGGGCTCAAAACCTACACCTGCCTGACACCACAGCCGAGGTTTTGTCTGGCCTCTAGTCACCTCCCTAGGATTTGGACCTTGACCCAGAAAGCAACCAGGCTTTCAGGCAGCCTGAGTCCTGGACAGACACTCTGGGCATCCTTGGACGGAAGTGGATGGAGGCCCAGGCTGCCACACTGCTCAATGCTCCCTTCTCCCCAGCAACCGCTGTGACAGGTAGAGCTGCTCTCCCCGCACTGTCTAGGTGCAGTATTCCTGAGGGCCATCCCTGTTCGTTCCAGCATCTGCACCTGCTCTGGGCACAGCCACTTCTTGTCCTGCCTGCCTGTCTCTGAGTGTAGCCCAGAGCCTCCTGGGGCTCCGGGTCTGGGCTGGGCATCACCAAGGACCATGAGAAGGCCTGGTCCTCCTAGGGATGCCTGCTGACCCACAGTAGAGCATAGGACTTCCCTGGACAGAGCAGCTTCTGCCGCAGTGCTGGGAACAGTTCTCGAGCCTTTTGGGCAGGTGCAGCCAGTGAGCAATGGTAGTGCTGAGGAAAAGAGGATAAGGAGTGGAGAGGGATGGTAGCTGTCCCACTGGCTGAGCTCATGACAGCTGTGGGCTACATTTGCAGGGGAACCTGACTCACTGTCACAGGCTGGCCTGAAAAGTCAAATGGGACTTGGGGACAGTGAGACTCTGACACCTGTGTGGGTTGGGGACCCAAATAACCTATAGAGACATTCTGGTCTCTTAAAGTATTCTAAGGATCCCCTCCAGGTTTCCTTCCCTTGGTCCCCAAGGGCTCAGCCATTCCTGGACTTCCACCCCTAGGGAGCTTCCTGTCTTCAGTGTCTCAAGGGAATGGAATGGCCCTCAGGCCAGGGAGCTGGCTCTCCTGCCCCTTGTCCTGTCTGTCTTCAGTTCCCCACAGATCTCTCTCCTTTAGACCCCAGTTCTGGGCATGGCCCATCCCTGTCCCCAAGCCTCCCCTGGTGTGGCCTAGGAGCCTATGCCAAACTAGGGCTGTAAAACAAAGTCCCCATTCTGAGCCCAACAGGGGAGAACAGTAAACAAGTGAAACGGGCAGGCTCCACACAGCTGGGGTGGGGATATTTTTCCCCTCTTAGCTGATGTGGAATGTCAAAGAGGCTGAAATAAAAGTCGGAAGGACAAGAGGCCGGCCGTGGTGGGGAGTTGTTCACGGAGTTACTACCTGGTGGAGGATTAGAAAGAAGCATTGCCCGCCTGCCTGGTGGGTATGGCGTGTTTGTTATTGTGGAAAACACCACATGAAACCTGTGTTTGTGTCAGCTCCAGGCGCGTGTTGCTAATTTCGAAGAATTAAACTAATGCCTTACGTGGCTCCACAGAAAATCAGAGGGGATTACAGCCTGGCAAGGCCTTGCTGAAGGACTTGCTGACCTTTGCCACACAAAAGGACTTTTTCTTGTTGTTCTCTCTGTGAATGTCCCTCATGGGGCTGAGTGCCTGGGTCTGGTACAGGCCATGAGACTTTGTATCCTGGATCCAACACATCCTGATGGTGTGCTGGTGATTTCAAGAGGTGACCTCTTCAAATTGGCCAGAGCATCCTCAACCCAATGGGAAAAGACAAAAAGGCAGCCTCACTCTGCAATCCTAAGCCTCATTTGGAGGAACCATATGGTGTACGATTTCAGAGTCCCCTCCACAGGGAAGTTGAAGTCTTCATCTATCATGTCCCATCTCTGTAACTTGAGTGTCACTTCTCTGAATCTCTATATTCTCATTTTTAAAGTGGTAATAAGGCCAGGCACTGGAGGCTTATGCCTGTAATCTTAGCTACTTGGGAGGTAGAGATCAGAAGGATCGTGATTTGAAGCCAGCCTGGGCAAATAGTTCTTGAGACCTTATCTCAAAAATACCCAACACAAAAAAGGGCTGGCATTGGGTCTCAAGTGGTAAAGTGTCTGCTTAGCAAGCTTGAGGCCCTGAGTTCAAACCTCAGTACCGCCAAAAAATAAAAATGAAAAAAAAAAGTGATAATAAGAAAACATTCTCTTTGCTGAGTGTGGTGGTGCACGCCTGTAATTCCAGCTACATGGGAGGTGGAAGTAGGAGGATAGAGGTCCAGGCCAGCCCCAGGCAAAAGCAGGAGACTCTATCTAAAAAATAAACTAAAGTAAAAGGGCTGAGGGCATGGTAGAGTGTTTGCCCAACAAGCTCGGAGCCCTGAGTTCATATCCCAATATGAACTCAAAAGAAAAAAAGTCCCCTCTTAGAGGTCTGTGGCCCATTTCTTCCCACACTACTAGTCCTGTGACCTTGGGCAACTTGCTTAACTTTTCTGTGCCTCACTACCATCTGTAAAGTGAGGATAATGGTTATTCCCTTCTCAGACTTCTGATAAGCACAGTAAGTTGATAGATGCAGAGTGGGTAGAAGAGGGCCTGGTGCATGGTAGGTGCCAGGTCTAAGTGAACTCAGTTTCTTAGAATCAAGTATTTTATGCACCCTCGAGGTAAGCATATGCAAGACCCCTGAGCACCCCGGGGTGGGGTAGAAGCCAGCCCTTTCTTCCTCCTCCCCCCTATTCAGAGCTTTCTTGGTGCACTTTCAGGAGTGTGAGACCTACGAGAAGTGCTGCTCCAACGTGTGTGGGACCAAGAGCTGTGTGGCAGCCCGCTACATGGACGTGAAGGGGAAGAAGGGCCCGATGGGCATGCCCAGGGAGGCCACATGTGACCACTTCATGTGTCTGCAGCAGGGCTCTGAGTGTGACATCTGGGACGGCCAGCCCGTGTGTAAGTGCAAAGATCGCTGTGAGAAGGAGCCCAGTTTTACCTGTGCCTCGGATGGCCTCACTTACTATAACCGCTGCTACATGGACGCTGAGGCCTGTTCCAAGGGCATCACCCTGGCCGTCGTCACCTGCCGCTATCACTTCACCTGGCCCAACACCAGCCCCCCGCCACCTGAGACCACCGTGCATCCGACCACGGCCTCCCCAGAGACCCCAGGGCTGGACATGGCAGCCCCAGCCCTGCTCAACCACCCTGTGCACCAGTCAGTCACCGTGGGTGAGACAGTGAGCTTCCTCTGTGACGTGGTGGGCCGGCCGCGGCCCGAGCTCACCTGGGAGAAGCAGTTAGAGGATCGGGAGAACGTAGTCATGCGGCCTAACCATGTGCGTGGCAATGTGGTGGTCACCAACATTGCCCAGCTGGTCATCTACAATGCCCAGCCCCAGGATGCCGGCATCTACACCTGCACAGCCCGGAATGCTGCTGGGGTCCTGAGGGCCGACTTCCCACTGTCGGTAGTCAGTGGAGGTCAGGCTGCGGCCACCTCGGAGAGCAGCCTCAATGGCACAGCTTTCCCGGCAGCCGAGTGTCTGAAGCCCCCAGACAGTGAGGACTGTGGTGAGGAGCAGACTCGTTGGCACTTCGATGCTCAGGCCAACAACTGCCTGACCTTCACCTTTGGCCACTGCCACCGCAACCTCAACCACTTTGAGACCTACGAAGCCTGCATGCTGGCCTGTATGAGTGGGCCACTGGCCGTGTGCAGCCTGCCCGCCCTGCAGGGGCCGTGCAAGGCCTACGCACCACGCTGGGCCTACAACAGCCAGATGGGCCAGTGCCAGTCCTTTGTCTACGGTGGCTGTGAGGGCAACGGCAACAACTTTGAGAGTCGAGAGGCCTGTGAGGAGTCCTGTCCCTTCCCTCGGGGCAACCAGCGCTGTAGGGCCTGCAAGCCAAGGCAGAAACTCGTTACCAGCTTCTGTCGAAGTGATTTTGTCATCCTGGGCCGGGTCTCTGAGCTGACTGAGGAGCCCGACTCAGGTCGTGCCCTGGTGACTGTGGATGAGGTCTTGAAGGACGAGAAGATGGGCCTCAAGTTCCTAGGCCAGGAGCCACTGGAGGTGACTCTGCTGCATGTGGACTGGGCCTGCCCCTGCCCCAATGTGACAGCGGGCGAGACGCCACTCATTATCATGGGCGAGGTAGATGGTGGTATGGCTATGTTGCGACCCGACAGCTTCGTGGGAGCCTCGAGCGCCCGGCGGGTCAGGAAGCTCCGTGAGGTCATGCACAAGAAGACCTGTGATGTCCTCAAGGAGTTCCCGGGCTTGCACTGAGGCTGGCCCACCCTCCCTGGTCTTCTTCCACCGACCCACCCCGGTACCCCTCAGTTCAAAAATTGGGCAAGATCAGGTTAGACAGTCTTGGGCCAGTAGGGAAACACAGCCAACGTGTCAGAAGAAAGCTATCAGAAGGTCTTAGAGCAACTTCTATTCTTTGGGTTCAGTAAGGGGTCCATCTCTTTTTTAGCTGAGGGGGCCAAAAGAAGTCAATCGACACATGTAAGTTATTCCTAATGACCATTCTGCTCAGGCATTCCCTTTCCTGACCCCATCATTCTTCCCATCTCTTAGCCAGGCTCCCCAACCATGGGTTGGCTTGCTAGGGGTTAGGAAGAGACCGGAGGGGCCAGGATTTGTCTGAACAACTTCCCCACAGCCTCCTAGACCACTGTGAGCAGAGATACTTCCCGTTAAAGTCATGAGCAGTGAAAAGCCAGAGGCAAAGTCCAACCCAGCTTTCAGCTTGTTCTGAGTGGAGGCTGCTGGGACAGGTGTCATTTGTGGTGTCAGGCTGTTTCTGAGGCCATCATGACGCCAGCAGAATCCGTTTCCTCTCCTTGGCTTCATTGGTTTGTTGAATTCAATTCAATTCAGTGCATTGGACACTTTCTGAACACTTCCTGGGTGTCAGTGGCTAGGCCCACAGAAAGATGTCCTTCCTTCTACTCACAGTGTGCAAACACAGAGCCCTGACCAGGGCCTCCCACACCTCCTAGCAGACCTGTGACTGGCCACCCAGCTGTCAAGTGTTTCCATCTGATCGGTGGGGGCCTTTCAAATGCCACTGGCTTCCTTGGACAGAAAGACAGATGTCCAGGGTTTGTTTTGGTAGCAAGAGAAATAAAGAGAAAAGGCAGGCAGAGAGGAGATAGTGGAGGAATAAAAAGAAGGGAGGCAGGCTAAAGAAGGACAAGGAATGTTGCTCGATGCTCCATCTGGTGGTGGCCTTGGGAGCCCACAGGGACCTGGAGGAAGGCTCTATCTAGGTGGGGCCTGGGAAGGAAGGTTTGGGGATATAGCAGCAGCTGGTTGGTGATTTTTTTGTTTGTTTGTTTGCAGACTCCTGTGTGGACCCAGGTACCCCACCACTAGACAGAGGGTTTTGGAACCCCACTGTCAGCTCTGCATCTTCCCTATTCCCTCCTCAGCCCTTCATTCTGTCTATGTCCCCCAAAGCCAAGGAAGGCCATGGGAGGCGGGGGTGAAGCCTCAAGTACAGGGAGGAAGATACTAATTAAAAGCCCGTAGATCAACAGCTCTTCTTGTATGATTCATTTGGGCTACCTGGGGAGGTAAGGGAGGAGCAGTGATTGTGTCATTTACCCTGGTGATCTTTCGAGAGGGAAGTCTGGCCACTGAGACACTGCAGATATTCAGGTCCCCACAAGTTCCGAGGCTCCTTAACTGTGGTGTTCAGCACAGCTCTGTGAGTTGAGCACAAGAAAAATGAACCAGCCAGGGGAGGTGCCTCATCCATGATCAGAGGCAGGGAGGTGGGGCTCCTGCAGAGGGAATCTATCTGTGATCTCAGTGCTCCTTCCCTGTTAGGACAGTGTGGTGGGTCAGGCGCCAGAGTCTAGACCCTACTAGATGGTTCAGAGGTGACAAGGTAAAAAAGACAAGAGTAGGGTAGGGAGGGGTGTGGTGCTCGGCTGTGACTCCCTAGGGTGACCCTTGGTCCCAAGCCTGCTCAGGACCTGGAGTCAGGCTCTGAGAAGGTGCACAGCAGCACTTTTGGCCTCAGGGGGCTCATGGCTGTTCTTCACCCCTGGTCAAATGTCCAAGACGCTGCAGTCATGGCCCCAAGAGATAACCTCTTCCCTTCACTGTTCCCTGGGTTTTGTTGGACCTCTGCCCAAAGGAGGACTCCAGGTCAGGTCTAGCCCAGCCCAGGTTAGCCACTCTCACCTGTAGTAAGGGCACAAAAAAAGAGGGGCCAGCAATGGGAAGACAAGCTGCTTCCCCAAATAAAGGAGAGGCCAAAGAAGTGGGAGTTCCTCATGTCGTCACTGGGAGGACATTGAGCCCAAAACTTAGCAAGATGGTACCAGCAGCCACCAAGAACCCTTCCCAACAGGGGTCAGGTGACTAGGAAAGGTGAGAACTGTCACTTCATTCTGCCCCCAGAGGCCTGGGGACCTCTATTGCACCTACTTTTAGCTCTAAGTGTCCCAAGTAACCACAGAGCCTAAGGGACAGGGTCCACTTGCCAGCATCTGCCACCTTCCACCTTGGCTCATTTGCACGAATATGGGCCTGAGCTCCATGGGTGGGCTCACACAGCAGGGCCCAGCTTGCTGTTCTGCTTTCCTGATGGGGGTGGAGGTTCAGGGGGCCAGCCGCACTTAGCACCAGGCTGGCCGAGCTAGATACCACACAGCCCACAGAGTCAAACTCACTTAAGTCTGAATCCTGGCTTTGTCACTTAGCTGTTCTCTCAGCCCAGTCCTCATCTATAAAACAGATGAGGTTCGCCATCCATTCCCCTTGTAAAACTGGAAACCCTAAGAAACAGAGCCTGGTACAGAGTGGCTATGCCGGGCCTTTCTCACCCTCAGTGGCTCCCTGGCCAAGGACAGGTCCCAGGATCTGACTCCCTCCCCTTGCTTGTCCTTCTGAGCCTCTGGCTTTGCAGTTTCAGTGTCCAGAGGACATTCAAATTGATAACTTACATGGATTGAATGGCTCAGAAAACATGGGTACCGAGGGAATGGGTGGTTGAGAATCTATTGCGATTTTTTTTTTTTTTTGAGGCATTGGGGCTTGAACTCATGGCCTTGTGTTTGCTTGACCAGCACTCTTACCACTTGAGCCACTCCACCAGCCCTCTATTGCAATTTCTGACCTCTTTATAGCATTAAGTTTTCTTTCCTTGAAACCACGCCTAATCTTTCATCTCTGTTGCCCTAGGCCTTCTACAATGCTGACACTTAATAGGTACTCAGTCAGGGCTGAGCTGAGTGCCCAGGACCAGGGAGCCAGGAAGCCTGCAGAGATTACCTCATTCATTCTGGAAGATTTGACACAGAGCCTGAGGCTTCCTGCACCAAGGACAGAGTCACACTGTCCACACTGGATCCTCACTCTTCACCACCTCGGGTCCATTTGGTTTTTCCCCTCTTCTCTAGCCCCTCTTACCAGATCCTCTCTTTCCCCTCCAGCCTGTTCCAGCCCGGCTGTCTCTGGACCAGCCCTAGGGCCCCCAGGCAGGGCAGCTTGGCTTTGTCCACATTCTATCTCCCTTTCCTCCACCACCTCCAGCCTCCTAGGACACTCTGCTCCATTGTCTGGCCAGCTGCTCCCTAGTCTAGTCTGATGTCACCCCCTGGACAGTGGAGCCAGAGAGTAGAGATCAGGGTAGAACCTGATTAGGGAAGAAGGCAATAATACACAGCCTCTTGGTGGTCTCCTTTGACTGTGTATCCCTGTGTTCCACTGAACCATTATAACAAAATCCACCTGAGCGATGCTTGCTGTGTGACAGGCATAGGCACTGTCTCTTGTAACGTCTGCCATGGCTGCATGAGACAGAAGGCTATTTTGTAGGAGGGGAAAGTGAGGCTAGAGGGAATGGGAAACATGCCGGGGTCCCACAGCTGCCAAGTGACAGAGCCAAGATTTGCATCCTGCCAGTCTTATGTCAGAACTCCTTTTGCAGTTCTGGGATTTGAACTCAGGGCCTCCTGCTTGCTAGGCAGGCACTCTACCACTTGAGTTGCATTCCCCAGCCCAACAACATCAGAACTCTTAAGGCTTATAATATGCCGTTTCTCCTAGTGTGTGAAACGTGAAACACACTCCCCCCACACACACACACTGGACTGAGGAGTGTGGGGTTCCATCGGAAACCCAGATACCTCCGAAGAGCCTACCTCCAGTCAGTCAGCCCCATGCGCACCACCCCTGGAGCTGTTTACAACCTTGCCATGTGACATGTGTTTTGATCACACACATATGCAGTCATGGCCTAGATTCCTGAGAGAGACATCAGACTTATGCCTACTCATCCTTCAAGACTCAGCTCCTTGGGGAAGCCTCCGCCATCCCCAGGCTGCCTCAGCCTCTTCTCCAAGTCGCTGTCTCGCTCTGTGCTTACCCAGTTCCAGAGCAAAACAGCTACCCAGGGGCTCCAGGTACACTGTGGGCCCAGCTCACAGAGCTCACTGAGGGTTTGCTGGAGAAGCAAAGGATCCTGGGACCAAGGCCATGTGGCACTGCCACACTGAATGATTGCAAGACTAAGAAAGGGCTTCTCTTGGGTCTCCCTTTCTTTTCCCAGTTCCATCTCTATTACCTTTCTCTCCTCCTCTTCCTCCCACCTCCCCAAAGAGTCTGAAGCCTCCTTCCTCCTCTGGGGGATGTGTGATTAATGCAGGCGAGATAGGTGGCAAGGTTCCTGGGTCCTATTCTTGGCTGTGCCCTCATTCTGGAATGTGCCCTGAGGTCACGTGACGCTGCTCTCTCAGACTGTGTCAGGAGGAAGGAAGAACGAGTCTCCAGCTGGCATTTCCCTAGGAAAGAGTGGGCAGCAGGTAGGCAAGCCTACCAGCCCTCTCCTTCCCATCTCTCAGGATCCTGAGCCCTCAGCACTTCTGTTTCAAGGTCAGGTTGGAGTCTCTGCGTTCATGTCCCAAATTAACCTAGGACACGGAACCCTGGCATCAAAAGCAGCACTGGTTACCCTCAAGCCCACTCTGATGAAGGGACAACAGGACTCAGCTCCAGCACACCCTAGTTCGGGCTTACCAGGAGTTAAGACTCTTTCCAGTACATCCATCAGTGTACTAGATGGGGCACTTGGCAGTTGTCTGCCTTTTCCAAGTATTGAGGATACTGTCAGAGCCCTGAAGGGATGAAGACACACCCATTCTGATCATTTGTTTCTGATTTGAGAGGGACACATCTGATTCTGTCTAGAATCTAAGAAAGGGCAGAGCACAGTGACTGTTTTGTCTCCCCAGTGTGTGCAGCCAGGAAATAAAGAGGAGTCTGGAATACTTTTGACACCCTGAGCAGGAGAGAAGCAGGTAAGAGGAGAGAAGAAATGGATATTTGAGTTCTAACAACTCTTATTCTGTTACTTCATAGATATATTGTCCAATTTAATCCTCTGCTCAGCATAAGGTCTTATCATTCAAGATATTCAATAAATATTGAAAGAATGAATGAAGCAAACCCTATGTACCTTATGGTCTTATTTTCCTCTGTTTTACAGATGCTGGATCTGAGGCCCTAAAATGTTTAAAAGAAAATTGTCCCAACATCATAGGGTTAATAAGTGGAAGAGCCAAGATTTAAACCAAGATCTGTCCAACTTCAGTACCTAAAGTCCAGGGTGGTGTATGTATTTTAATCATTTCAGTGAAAGGCTGAGGCCCAAATGGCACCTCTCCTTGTGACCGTCCCTATAGATCACTTCTTTAGGTTTTTTTTTTTTTTTTTTTTTTTTGCAGACTGGGTTCGAGACTCAGGAAACTTGCTAGGTAGGTGGTTTACCACTTGAGCCGCTCCCCCAGCCCTCGTGTTCATCACTTCTAATGGCCTTTGGGAGAATCCAGGCTTCATAGAAAGATTGTGAAATCACACTCTCCAATATAAACAATATTGAATACATGGAAACAAATTCAAATTAAATAAAATTCAAAATTCAATTGCTCATCTGACATCTCATGTTACATTTCATGTGGCTAATAGCTTTAACACTGGTCAACAAAGACAGTGTATTTCCATCATCGCCGAGAGAGAAGTCCATTGTTAGAAAGGACTAATACAGAATTCCTGTTTTCTTTGGCAGAGGGCTGTGTAGAGGTGGCAGGGGGGGAGTGGTCTCTAATAGTCTTTAAGCTCAGCAAGGACTCCAGAGGTTTCCCATTTAGCCACTTGCTGGCATGGGGTCTCACGGTCCTATTGCCAACAATACTACAGGGTTCTATAATTATCCCTGTTGTCACTGAACCCTGATCTCAGCCTCAAAATCTAATCTTTTCTCCAAGATGTATAGGCCTTCATGTAATTAAGGTCCCAGAGTTCTAGAAAAGGTAGGAAAATTAGTATATATGCATGCACACAGCACTAACAGGTAAAGATGGATTTACCAAAGTTTTAGCTGAATATGATAGAGATAGACTGCTAATAGGAAGGCGGATGGTGGGAACTAGAGGCCAGGTCCTTCCATGGCACCGTGCAGCACCTGTGACAGCTTCTGCTTCCAGGAACCAGGCTGACAACAGGCCTGTTCCTCAACACCC